AAAAAGGATAGCGAGAGGATGCGAAACGAAGTGCCGCCACTGATACTTGTTGTTGTGTATTATGCATAGCTGATGTACTTGTGTCTTGAGCATTAAAGTTCAATCTTCGTTGAGCCAGTTGCTGATTATGCTGCGGAATTTGTCTTTGAACATTAACATCACCATTGGCATTTTGACTAGTTCTAGGAGTCTGGTTACTGATGATTGTAGGTCGTTTGGCCGAACGGTGTCTATCTTCAAAATCACTACTCCTACCACCTGGACCACGTTTATTCGTATTCCTAGGAGTTGCAGTGGTAGCACACTGATTCATATGACTTGATGACATCACGGCCGGTTGCTGATGAAGAGTATTAGTAACTTGTGGCTGAGATAACGTATTGGTATGTATCATGGTCGCAAATGGCTGCTGTTGAAGGGGAGGTTGATCCGATTCTGTACGTTGAAAGGAAGAACAAGAAATGAGATTCCCTTCAGAAAGGGAAGAATTTGCATCTGGTAACAACAATTGTTGCTGTGTAACTCTTTGTTGCTGACGTAATCCCATATATTGACCCGAGGATTGCTGTTCAAAAGGTAGACCCATGTGCTGTGATGAATACTGATACTGTGCGAGATTGAGCATAGCAGAATTGGCGATAGCCGTTGAATCATACATGTGATTTTGAACCTGTTGGAATTGTCCCACCGGACCCGATACAAATTCATTATTCTGAGGTGGAAACCTGTACTCGTTACCATTACCATAACCATTATACATCAACTGATGTTGCATAGGACCATTTGGCTGATCTCGAAAGTCACTCTGAGATCGGTCGACATTAGTCGACATTGCACCACTCTCTTTATAATAATTTGTAATATAAGCGAAAACTCTTTATAATGTGTTTAATATAAACACTACCCAGAAAAATTAAATCACGTTGAGCGTACACGTGTACGTATACGTACAATACAGAAGAAGAGGAACCAAGAGAACACGTCTGATCTGTATAGTGATAAAAAGATGAATGACTAGTATTAAATTTATAAAACATGTTGTCCCACTTCGTTAAGTTTCTTATCGATAGAAGTCCAAAGAGGAAAAAATCGTTTCCAGTTGCCCCAGTTTACTGTATTAACTCCGCCCTTAGTGGTTATTTGCTCAACTTACAAGTAATGGTAATTGTTATTCTGGATAAAGGGTTATTTGGAAAAAACGAAAGTACATCTATAATATCACCTTGATATCATCCAGCAACTTTCTAGCTTTATACCGAGACTTTGACATCGGTGGAAAAACAAACTGCGAATTTTATGGAGTTGAACACCATCCTGAATAGTTTTTCAGTATTTAAGTAGGAGTAGAACGAAGAAGACACTTAAGTGCACATTTTTCTTCCTACTTCGTTAAATGTATCGTCAAACGATAGGAACCTTAATCTTATTATTTTGGTATAGAAAATGTGCTTCGAAAGAAATGCCTACACACTGCATCAGAAAACTAACTATTTCGTTTGCAAACTGGTGTTTTGGTGTAAACACTTGTCGTCGTTGCATTTCAGCTGAAAATTAGGAAATATTAGTCTAAAACGGTCTAAAACGTTCTTCGCCGATTACCTGATTTTATTAATTATATTTTTTTCTATAAGTTTTGCTTATCTTAAAATAACTCACTGTTTCAGATTAAATTTCAATGTTAGTCTTAAACAACTCTACTAAGTAGTTTGATAGATTCAATTATTTTAGAGCACTGAGCAACAGCTATATCACTGTGTAATATTCAGTTTACGTCCACCGTAGGAAGCTTAAATCCAAGATATGTATGGAAATTCACCAATGCCAACTGAGACCTGCAACAGGCAGCAGACATAAAGTAGAGCTGGAGTGATTGGTAAAAAACATATAAAAGTAGTTTAGTATTAATTGTTAACGATTTATAAATCAGGGCCAAACCAGAGTTCCTGGTAACAGCAGCCAGTATTTGCATCTGTAGCATATAATCAAACATCAGTAATACATAGCCAAAATGTAAGTTTTTTCACATCTGTCATCCTTTCTCATGTTTACTCTGAAATCAAATTCCATTAAGGCTGGGTTCGAACCGGCCCTTCCTTAAAATATAAGAAAATATAGGATTTGAAAAAAGAATTTATATAGGACTTCTCTAGTAATATAGGACAAATATAGGACGTCTCTTTCCACTAAACCAACACTGTTTAGTATGGTGAAAGAACACCAGAGTACCATTGAGGCCATCTCTGTGCAGGTCATCGACTGAATCGAATATGAATACGTGCTCAAATCGATGAAAATGTCACTACAATGAAGTTTACTTCACAAAAAAACACAAAGGAAAAAATGGTTAATATTCTGTTTTGTTGTGAATATGCGAAATATATCATCCGCGCATCGAAGCCATAGTAATGATTTATTGGTGGAAAATGTGTTTAACTTATGAGGGAACATACGTAACTGACCAATCGTTTTTTTAATGAAATCTAGTGGAGTATAGGTAAAAAATAGTGCTGAATCCGAATATCGACATGAGACGGGCCACTAGGCCATGCGAGTACCGGATTTCTGGGAAACCAGGTTTCCAGAGCCAGAAACTTTTTGTTCCAAAACTTTTTTCTGATTTGTCTCGATTGTAGAGCACATCGAGAAACCTATAAAAAAACTAGTTTTGGGGTTTTTTAAAGTGTTTTTGCTCCCTCAAAAAACCTCAGCGTACGGAAAAGAGTAGAAAAGTCCGTCTGGCGGGCTGTGGAAGGGTTCCAAAATTCTGAAAACTAGTTTTTTATAGGTTTCTCGATGCACTCTACAATCGAGACAGATCAGAAAAAAGTTTTGGAACAAAAAGTGTCTGGCTCTGGAAACCTGGTTTCCCAGAAATGCGGTACTCGCAAGGACGAGCGGCCCGTCTCATGCCGATATTCGAATTCAGCAATATTTTTTACCTATACTCCACTAGATTTCTTTAAAAAAACGATTGGTCAGTTACGTATGTTCCCTCGTTAGTTTCGAGTTTTGACATAAATAGGTCTGCAAGTATTGGTGCATGTGGTGAATCCGTTGCTACTCCATCAGATTACACGTAATATTTACTCATAAATCCAAATGGTACATCACAAACGGCTAATTCTAGTAGTCTTTTCATTTGTTGTCGACTGAAGGGTATGTATCAGCTATTTGAGAAAACAATTATGATAAACGAGCTAATCTGTGAGTATGTTAGAAGTATTGTAACAGCAACTAGAAAATATACACAACTAATCTTTGGCTGGATAAAAGAAAAGAATCAAATAAATTTACTTTTGCAGAACAAACTGCGAAAGTAAATCCATTAACTAATTG